ATCCGATAAGAGTACGCAATGTACATTGCCGAGAAGTTATTTACAATACGCAACTAAGTTCAGTGTCATTTTGCAGTGCTAGGAAGTGGAGATTGTTGTGCGGAAAAAATATCAAAAATTATTGAAAACCAAGAAACTACCTAAGTCTGAACATTTTGATGTACTTGCATAAAACTTTTTGGTATTTTCAAATTGTTACTGAGACTAAACTAAGCATTTTTTTTTAAACTGACTGCATCAAATCGCCCAAAAACTCGTCTAAGAGGTCAAATTGCAAACGATTGTGGTCACTTGCAACATATGGGGTTAGTAGCAGTTTTATTCTGAAATTGCTAAAGTGTGTAAGAGTACGCAACTCGACGAGGTGCAAGAGGACGCGCGTAGTCTACCATTTTTTTTAGAATAGTGTACTTCTGAATAAAATTTCTGTCGCTGTGCCTCGTTCTAAACCAACTGAAACCTTTTGCGAGAGTCTAGTATTTTTAAAGGTTTGACCGACCTGAGGCATGTGCTCCGAATGTGTCTGAAATATCGGCTACAAGTGCGCCTGAAGCACCACCACTGCTCTAACTGAGGTATGTCCGTGTCACAAGTAGACTCTTCTCAGCTCTCCATGAGCAAAGACCCATGCATACCGAGACAAAAATTCATATTACCGGAAAGGTATGGACGTGATTCGTGCAACCGATAAACGAAGTCCTATCAAAAAAGGTGTTGCGTACTCTTGCCGACGCCCATGCGTACTCTTAAACCCATAGTACAGTGTAAGAGTACGCAAATCCCATTTTGCACTTTATTATCAGTTACAACCACAATATTAAATATAACTACTTTTCACATTAGTATGTAAGAGTCAGATAAGTAGACTATAAAATAAAATAATAGCTTATTTACTAACACTTTTTGTTTTCATTCTACACGGTCTCAAACCTTAGGTGCGTCGTCTTAAACCAGGCTACCCTATGTTACGCAGCTACTCCGACGTTTGTGAATCGATTTCGATAATTATTTATATTTATTGGAAAGGGGGTACCTCTGTAGTGGCCCCATTCAAGTATGAAGAAATTATTCCACCTCTAAGGGTAGCAAATTAGGGGATGAATCCAGTTTATTGAATTTTATCCACTTTCCGTTAACCGATGTCAATGAAACTTGGCAAATACATGTAATTCCACAAACTTTTGAGGCCGGTTTTATTATATAAAATAGTTACAATTTTTGGAAACAAAATCATCAAGCCGTCGTTTGACCTTCAATCATTTAAACTTGTACTATAAAATTTTATAGATCTAACTTTTTCGATTTTTTTCGATTCGACGCCTCGTGGCATCCATTTAATATAGAAATCCGGTTTTATTTTTATACTGGTTTTAGTGATATGTTAATTGAATCACTCAAGCCAACTAACACCGTTTATTAACATGATAAAGAAAGCATACACGTATATTTGGTGAGCCCTGAAGCATATCTGAAAACATTTATGTAGAAATTACTGTATAAGTGGGTGATTAGAACTTAATAAAATTCGTTTATCTCAACACAACAATTAATAAATATAAAAACAACTTTACGCGTAGAGTGGCACTGCAACTGCTATGGCGTGGCCTGTCGCTTACCACTTGGCGCACAATTTGTGCGTCGCGTCACTTGGTGTCATAAAAAATTTAAAAAAAAGATTTAGGAACAGTCCCGTAAATTTCTACAAAAGTCTTGTTTATAGTGACCCTCCCTATCAAAGTCTTGAGTATACGGGAAGGGTACTATAACCTGTGCAAGCACAGCGACCTTATAAGTTCAAGTCCTGATTCCAGATCAACCCAAGGATAGGGTTGTCACGTTCCTTTCTACATAAGTTTTGATTATAGTGACACTCCCTACCGACCCTTAGGATAGGAGAAGGGCAGTTTAACCTGTGCAAGCAAGCCCGCACAAGGACCATCTCAGTTAGAGATCCACCCCAAATCAGCCCGTTTGCACAGACTTCATCTGGTTCTCAAAAGGTTAGTGCCTTGGGTGAGCGCCTTGGGTAGGTACAAGTACAGCGCCCTCCCCATTGTCCAGATAGGTACCGGAACTGTTGGCACGCTCACTTCCCGTTGTGCATTGTACAACTAACGGTCGCTATCGCTAAGCTGTTGACTCTAAAGTCCACTACCAAATCGCTACTTTGGTGACGGAGCTGTCGGCACGCTCACCTCCCGACGCCGAAGCGTTTCTCTAGTTCCCACACACCTACGCCACTGGAGGGATCGGAGGATGTCTAGCTTATCCTCTCCAGGCTAAAGCCGGAGATGCCGGCCAAAGTGTCCTGTAACAGTGTTAGCTATAGCTGCCGAATTAAAGGGTAACTCACGTGTCCCGAGCGTTTCCTCGCCATAGGCCCTCATCTAGACGGGATGAGAGCCCTATCCACATGCTACCAAGGCAGACGAACGTGTTCATCTATACAGCTAACCACAAATCCCGGCGAGTCAATACCCAAAGTCCGGGTCCACCAAAGAAGACGTATCACTGACGAAGGACTTGGCCCGGACGCCAGCCGTACTCTGGTCTTACCGGGGAGCACGTAGTCTCCTCGGAACTCACTGTCTCTCGGGACAATATAGACAGGGTTGTCACAAACAACAGTGGTGGGGAAATAAGAGGTCTGTAGCTCAGCAAAATGGCAGAGTGTTTTTCAGCGCCGCTGATATTCAGCTACAGCCTGCAATATTAAAAAAAAAGAATTAATGCACATAGTCTTTTCAGTTCTAAGACTGCCAGCAGATTACTACATACTTAGCACAAAATAATGAATTCTTATGCTATAATATGTAGAATATTAGTACTAAACACTGAGCAATATCCACACATGACTACACTACAACGCCTACCTCTTTACAATCTCTTTTTTACACTGTACTGACTCGTATTTTCTATTTTGTCGGTTCTGTGGTATAGATTTTATTTTTATAATATCAAGTGACGGATATCGTGAATGTCGTGTGGCGGTCTGGTGACAACCCTAATGCACAAATAAGTAATGACGACCAAGTACGGGTACTTAGAAAAACTCGCACGGCTAGAAGATGGTGACACCAGCCTCTTCAGTCAGTTTGAGACCATGGATATTGCAATACGTCCGAAACGTCGAGGTAAATAAAATTTGTATTTTATACACCATTAAGTCACGAATTTAAAATCAAATAATAATTGGCGTTATACGTTTGTTTCCGTGTAATTTTTGAATAAACGTTCCGACATGGCACTAATGCAAACGACTCTAACATTAACGACATGCATAGAGCAGATACAATTAACGAACGCCTTGTGCTTTTGTTTAGCAATTCCGCAGTGGAATTAATCTAGCATTTGAGCCTCGTGGTCGATCAGAGCTTAACGTGAATAATGGCGAGTTGCATTAGGCACAGGGTCCGCGCGACAAGAATTCGCAACGCAGAAAACTGCGACGAATTGCTGCTATGCGATTTCGTGCTGCAAGGTATCTCACTGCCATGGTTCTGGTAACCATATTGAACTTTTTTTTTAAATTAAGTAGCGATATGGATCGTAAAAGTGTATTGCACTGCTGTTATTGATAAGAAAATTATAGGAAAAAAACACAAAGAAGATTAACGTCGCAGGAATGCACAATGCGGAGCAATTCGCAAGTTCTTGCGATGCGACGTCGCATCGCCGTTTTGTGTTTCGACCCATACTGCCGAACCACCACTTCCACCCTAAAAGATTGCAGATTGAAGCCATAGTCACCATTTTTTTACATATACCCCGGTACGTGGGATGACATGGCAGGTTATCTGGGACTTTCCTCCGTTGACCCCAGCTCGTCCGATGGATCCTCGGAGGTCTACCCACTAGAAACCTGTGTATACACCCTCTTTCACCGATGCTGGCTCGTCCCCTTCCGCGGGGCCTCCTCACGTTACTGGACATGCCCGTGTGCATTTGGATATCTCACCAGACGAGCAAGACCGTGCAATGAAGATGACTGGCTATCGTGAAGGAGATACTCCATAGTCACCTGACTTGGCCTTATTGACTACCATTTTTTCCGCAGTCTAGATAATTATTTACAAGGAAAACAATTTAGTTCTCGTGAAGCAATCAAAAATTAGTTCCAAGATGTGGATTTGGTCTTAACACTATTCAACCATGAAGGTGTGAATGAGCTTCCAACAATATGGCAAAAGTGTGTGACGTTCGTACCTTTTATAATTAAAATAAAACGATGAGATCATCAGTAATATAAATTTATTATGGGGGGGTAACGTCCCTATAAAAAAAAACGAAATTACAAAATAAATAAAATAGGTCGTGGGTACTACGCCCGTCTAGATTATGCCGTCGCAGACCTGTACTTCCCTGCTGCAGGTCGAAGGTTTCGAAAGGTCGGCCACCGGCTACTAGGGCAGGAACAATGTCGAGATACGTATTATTACAAAATATTAAATTCTTAAATAGTCCCAAAATTGTCTCTCATCACTTTTCAGTTCATCTATAAACGTTTGACATAATCCTAATGGAATTCTTTTTAATAACATTGGATGGACCCAAAACTTTCTTTTCTTCGTTTGCTTCCTCATCCGTTTTTTTAAAAAGTAATACATTATTATAATTTCATCTTCATCTATTCACACGCTCGAAAACACACTATTGGCTTCCAAAAGAACATAGAAGCAATTGCAGTGTATCAAACGATTCTGTTGTGCAAACAACAAGGCGGCTGCCGTGAAACGATAAATTGTCGTCACGATCTAGTGGGAACAGTTAGACACGACAGTTGTTCAACGATAAAATAATCATCGACGACACAGCCATGACAGATAGTCGTGATATGAGAACAGGCTAGCGCGACAGTCGTCTAACGATAAATAAAACGTCACGACATAACGGGAACGCGCCCATATTATAACAAGGTGTTGGCTTTGAGGACTTCTTTTAAAGGTACACTACACAAGCTGGTATTACAATCTCTTTTTTACACTAGCTAGTATTTTTATATCTCTCTGTCATGTGACGCTGTAACCTTAGCAACGTAACAAACAGCTGCGCACCGATACACATTTCATTTTGATTATTTTGTAACAATTTTCATTTTAGTACTATATTTACTAGTTTACAATTTTAACTATGGAGGAGCAAGACGACATCTTCGGTGGGGCAATGACCATAGGGTCGGAAACCACCGAGGCGGAGAAGGAGTTTGAAAAAGTAAGATTTATTTAGTTGAAATCAGAAACCCATTCAAGTGTTTTTCATGTACAAAAGATTGACGCAAGCCTGGTCAACTTTCTGGCCAGCAGTTGATTTATCACAACGTTTGTCAGGTTATGGACTTCTCGGAAGAAACTATTTCTGCACCTTTTATGTTAACCGAAAAACATTGTCCATTACGTCCTACTAGTTGTACGCTTTTTTCAACGCATTTCGCATTTTCTCTTCACAGTTAAGTTGCATTACAGAAATCAGATGCGTTATAAACATTAACCCATCCCTCGTGCTTGCTATGGTATGAGAGTTATGAGCAATCTTATTTGCTACGTTAGCTTGATGCTTAATTTTCCAAAGCAATGTGATGATGTTACATTACACTGTCGCGTGACATAACAATTTGTAATATTACTCACATAACATACATATCTCTACTTAACATTGCTTATTCTATTTAAGATATTCTTGGCATTGGCGCGAGCGGTGTAATACCTTTGCGCTTTGTAATTTGGCTTAGTTTTTTTTTTAAATAATTGATTTGGACGATTACGTCAAAACCAGTTGAAAATACGACTTTGATGGCATAACGGTTAAAAATGAGACGCTTTCAAATTCAATTTCCGGTCACACAATTTGAGAATCGTATTTTTCTAAATTTTTCTGCTCTGGGTTTATTTATTTATTTTATTTGGGACAACAACAGCTTACTATTATTTGATTACGTTATCATGATGTACAATAGAACAAAGCTAAATATAGTTATCCTTTAATTACATGCGAGAGCGATATGTACTTATGAATGACTGTGAACTATACACAAACTCGTAGACTAATTAATGAAAAAAACTAAATGATTTAATATAAATAATAGTAACACATATTGGATATGCATACATATATACACATACATAACATATACATGTACTTAAATATGTACATATTTCGGGGTTAACTTTAGTTTATGTAACCCCAGAGATGGTTTCGTTGAAAACCAGGTGGAAGGTGGTGGTGGCGGTAGTTAATTCGTATGATTGTCTTACACATGTAAAAACGTCGTTTGCAGATCTTGGAGCTTCTTCGAGATGCAGAAGGCCTTAAGATGTACGCCGACGTGTACACGAAGCTCTACGACACGTATTATAAAGTCAAGGATGAGAAGGCTGCGCTGCAGGATGAAATGAATACACTCCGGGTAACTTAATATATACCACAACATGTACTATACAGCAAAACGTCATGGACGTCTATATACACACATCAAAAAAAGTTTGCGATCACTTCGAAAAACTGAAATCTTTTTTGTTACTGTAGATTATATTATGATTTTTTCTTCTTTTTAGATTCTTTATTTAAAAATAAATTAGAACATAAAACAATGACCCCGTTCAATTGTTTTTTCATATAAAAAGGCTTTCAGTCCTAGCTTACGCTCATTCAGAAATCTGATTTAGTCAATTATAAGCGATTCAAGATATTTTTCGCGGAAAGTTGTGATTGAAAAAATGCCAAGAGGATTATCAGAGGTTTTACGAGCTAGAATAGTAACTTTGAGGGAAGAAGGATACACCACGAGAGTAATAGCACGCAGACTTGCTATATCCCAATCCTGTGTCGTGGCTACGTTGCAGAGGTATCACGGAATGGGGAATTTAGCTGACCCACCCCGCAGCGGTCGCCCAACTGTTTTGACAGCTGCCCAAAAGCGCTATATTAGATTGCTGGCAGCCCGTGATCCAACAATCAACTCCACTAAAATAAAAGCAGAAGTCAGGGCCGCCTCTGGACTTGAAGTTAGCACGCAGACCGTTCGCAATTGCTTGCACCAGGTTGGATTACGAGCACGGAGGTCTTGGCGAGCTCCGCTCAATTCCCGGCAACGTCAACAACGAAGATTGCAGTGGGCTAGACTTCGGCAAAATGAAGAAGGTGAGGACGAAAACATTTGGCAAAACTGTCTCTTCGTTGACGAATCCCGAATCAGCACTCATCCAGATAACCGACGTGTCCGTGTCTGGAGAAGACCAGGCGACCGTGAAAGACAAAGAACTGTCACTGGAACAGTTCAGCAAGGCGGAAAATCGGTGTCCTTTTGGGGTGGCATTACGATTGGAGCTAGAACGCCTTTGATCCCGTATCGGGGCTTCATGACAGCAGACATGTACAAAGCAGTTGCTATTGATGATATCGTCAGACCATTCCGAGTAAACCATGGGCACCAATTTGTACTGGTCGATGATAATGCGCCCGCACATCGAGCTCAACGAGTCAATGCTGCTCTTCAAGAATACGATATCACACGATTAGACTGGCCTGCCGGCTCGCCCGACTTAAACCCAATAGAGCACGCGTGGGATGCTCTTAAACGAGCAGTATGGAACCGTGAGCCACGTCCCCAGACAGTTCCAGAGCTCAGGGAAGCCGCTATTGAAGAATGGGATAGGTTACCCCAGGAAATGCTGGATAACTTGATCCTCAGCATGCCCAGGAGGATCTTCGCATGTATTCGAGCCAGGGGAGGAGTTATTTTATATTGAATTCACACCTTTTAATAATAAATTGTTGTTTAAGTTTAATTAAACAGTCTTTTTCTTTCTATGAAATTTCTATCACTATTACATTATGATTAATGGCTCAATTTTTTAAAATAAATAATAAAAAATAGTTTTATATTTTAATTTCAAACAGGGTATTCCTATTTAAAGAAAGCATACAACATAGATTTTTTCTTGATAAAGTTAAATTTAAAGAATTATAGGAGCTTATGCTATTGATCGCAAACTTTTTTTGATGTGTGTATAATACTTTCTGAATTTTGTTTTTGTTGTTTTTTTCATCAATGTTTTACATATTATGATACTATGAAGTCTGCCTCACCGTAACAATACTAGCTGATGCAGTTGAACATTAAAACAGAAAATGGGTCTTGTAGCGGATCGTATCAATAGGGCGAACCCCATTGATACGATCCACTACGACCTAAGCTACGTTAAGACCCAGAACGAAGGAAACAGAAAATAAATAACAATGACAGTATCAAAGAAAAATGCGCCAAGTACATTTAAATTTAGAATTGTAATCTAAAACTAAACTTCTAAAAAGATTATAAAATATATGTACTAAACAGATTTGTAACTTGTGTTACAATTCTTACACTTGTAAAAGTTTGTGTTGTTATGTGATTCGCTAGGGTTTTGAAATGTAAAGTGTACCTACGAACATTTTTCTCGGAACGTCAAATTGACATACCAATCATACTTTATTTCACCATCCAATTGACCATCTGGTCTTGAGGTCAAGGGTCCTCGGTCCAATGGCAAATTGTCCTAGTCTCTGTTTTTCACCTCGTAGTCACCGCTTGAGTAAAGAACTTTTTTAAAGCGGTTCTCCTAATCAGGGGGTCTACTCCCGTTCTCCGTCCGACATCCGTCCGAAATGATTACTGTCAAATAAGTAACACTCGGCCAAATTAAAAAGACGCTTGATGCGAATGGAGCTTCGTACTTGAGATTGTTTTTTAATTGGGTCGAGTATTACTTATTTGCAATAATTGAAGCATTGGGTGAACAAGGGCGTATCACGTAAAAGTGATATTCGACAAAATTGAAAACAAAGTTTTAATGTCTTTTACCTTTTTAATATTTATAATATGGCTCTGACATACTTTATTATTTATTTGTCCTATGATTTAGCTAGAAGATTCAGGTGTTATTATTACTTTAAAACAATTAGAAATATTTGTAATTTTGTTCTCCTTGTGTTATCGGCCCTTGTTGCACCAAACCGGTAAATTAATAGGGCGTACGTTTTATTATTGGTTTTTAAGGAAATCAATGTGAATCAGTCTTATTTAAAAGTTACATTGAAAAAAATTTCAACGTATTTTTCATCATTCATTAAATTCGCTGGATTTAAATGAATCGACAGTATCATCTTCAGCAGGTCTCACTGGCCTCCTAGATGCTCCATATTATTCAGAATTTTTTACATTAAAATAAGTATTTACAAACTGCAGTTCCTAACGTGTCCGAAATTCAAACGCACATTTATAATCTATGCCACAAGGGCGGAGCGCCACCTTCTAAATGAATGAAACTTACGCCATCTTGAAGCGAGATCGAAATGAGTTTTTGTCACAGGATACTAGATAGCGTTTTAGATGTTTTGATGCAATAAAATCAAAACGAGCTTTGGGTGCCGAACGCCCTTGTTGTTCTCAATGCTTCAATTGTTTCGGACGGATTTTGGACACAGAACGAGAGTAGGCCTTCTGTTCTACCAGCTGTGATTTAACTTGCTTATACTTTCAATGTTTATGGTTTAATAACGGTAATAAGTATTAACTATGAATTTCAAAGACACAGAGTAGACAATTTATCAAAACTTTTTTTTATTTTTCAGAACAGGGTGAATCGTTTCGATGATACCATCACGGATTATCAAAAGGAAATCCATGAGAATCAAAAAACTATTGAGAAGCAAAACTTAGAGATCGGTATGGAAATTCAAGTTAAAAACTGACCAGTTAAATTTTAATCCTCGTTATTAAATATTTAATTGTTTCTCTTGCTGATAAGTCACGTACATTGAAGTCAAAAAGTCATTCGTCTGTTGTCTACATTCACTAATCTATAAGGAAATACAGTAATTTGCATAATGTTTATAATTCTTTTGGTTAAAGAGGAAGCCCGTAAACTGGCGGATGCTATGCACGCTCGAGAGTTGAACAGCGTGGAGGCTCTGGAGACCATGAAAAGGACAGTTGTGCGGTTGGAGAAGGAACTAGATGCAAGAAAACGCGCCGGTGACGACGAAACGTAAGTTCTTTTAACTGCCTCCATAGCCGAACAATTACCATACTGGACTGCCACGTAGAGATCCCGGGCTCTATTTCCAAGCCGGGAGAAATATTTGTATGGCATAAGGTCAATGTATAGGACATATTTATTTATCTCGTGAGTTTGGGTGTAATTTATGGTTGTCTATGTGTGTCCATGGCACCCGCGATACAGGGTTTCCTTAGTGCGCGGCTATGAGTTTCCAAAGTGTGAAAGAGTGATATTCCAAAAACATGTCAAAACACCTATTTTGTGTCATAACACAAACATATTTTGAACATATTCAAAAATATGTAAGTAATCATGTCATGGAGATTTTTTTAAGTATAGGTACTTTTATTTCAGAGAAAAGTAAACAACCAGTGTTAAATATACTCGGTGTTTTATATATTTATCCATATCATTTTTGTAAAAATTATTATAAAGCATTTGCTTTTTAAAATTACGTTTGTGATTTTATTATTATTATGTAACCCCTTTTAAAGCTACGGAATTTATTAGATTTTAGTCAGAATCTACTGTTGAAATTGACACCAAATATACTTACCACGGATTTATATATTTCATAAACTGGATCGCGCACTTCGATATACCAATATTAGAAATACAAACTTACACCTTATTGGGTTATCTTAAGGTTTATTTTAAGTAAATACCGAGTCACGTGAGATAGCTCGAAGTAGTGGTCTGTCCTTGTCTAACAAGTTGCCAACGCTAAATAAAATCATCTTACGTAGTGTCTAGTCTATTAACTTTTTAAATAAAATAAAATTAGCTTAAAGGTAAAAAAAGGTACTGTAATAATACAAAAAAAAATTAACAATTAAACCTTCTATTATGAAGTAGAATACCAAACAAGTATGCTAATTTGTATTATGAAATAATATTCGTAGTTTTGGTCATCCATAAGCGACCACATTTTTTGTAAAAATTAAAAAGTTAAAAACGATATGGCTGGCTGAAACATGAATGAAAGAGACGCATTACTACTTTGAAGCCTCTCACTCGGCTCGCTTTATTAACTTAGTGCGCGGTCCAGTTTAATATACAAGTCCGTGATAATTACCCCGTTTGAGTGTTGTCCGAGAATTTACAATAACCTTTTTTTGTATACATTTTAATGAAAATGCATTGTATAAATATTTACGAAAATGGTATGGATAAATGTCATGAAATACCAAAAGTTTATGTTCACCGTTGATTGTAGCTTGTATACTTTTCTCTCAAAAAAAGTACACCTTTAAAAAAACTCGTGTCCTTTGACTCGTGCTCGAAATACCGCTCACGACGCGAGCGCACGAGAGACGATGCGAGACGCGACGCGAATAGCGAAGTGACCGTTTACACATGCGTGTCGTGCATCGCATCGCTATTCGCATCGCCTATCGCACGAATATGAGAACGCAGTATAGATTATCAATATAACTTCCAACACTCCAAAAGCTTTTGTGATCAGGTCAAGGAAAACTTGAAATTTGCGTACAAATTTTCTGGTTTTTCTTTATTCAGAGAAAATGGAACTTTATATTTCCAATCAATAGGGTATTTCAAACAACATTCCTCAAATTGAACCAGGCAGTGTGTAATTTTGCGAGATTATGTAAACACCACTTATTTTATTTTATTTTTTTATACGTGACAAGCAGATGACTCCAATCCACCTGATGTAAAATGGATTCCAAATGTGAAGGAACCTAGTGCAGTGTTGATACAATCACTGCCCTAGCCACCTCCACCCTACATGCCTACCTACAAGATGCCTCTTTACGGGTCATATTCTAGAATTCTACTCAATGCTCAAGTCAGGATTGCACTGGAAGTACGACCCTAATGGCAGGGACTTAAGTATGATTTCGAGTGCTTTAAACCATACTCAAATCCTGACTTGAGCATTGAGTAGAGTTCTAGAATACGACCCTAAGCCTCGTTTTTCTGTGACAGCCACAAAGGCAAATTTCAGTCATTAAGCTTCTCTTTTCTACTAACTTGCTGCTCAATTGAACAGAAACCTATCTAACTATATAACAGAAACAAAACATTTTTGAAAATTTGTTACAATAATGTTATTTACATTAGCAATGAAATAACTGTTATTATCCCTTCACATTGTATTTAAAATTGTAATATTGTCACCTCGATAATATGAAATGAATGTTTATATTCTGTAACTATCTGTTTCATCGTAGCGGTGGCCAATCAGCAGCGAAAGAGAAAGAAAAGTTTGAGAAGGAGAAAGCGAAATTGACGTCAGAACTGGACTCTATGAAGCAGCGGTTGGCCAACGCTATCAACTTTCAACAAGAGCTGGACGCCAAGTGTACAGCAGCTGAAGAGCAGATCAGCAAATATGAAGAAATGCTTGAAGTAGGTTTTTTTTTTTATGATTGTTAGGCGGAAGATTTTTTTTTGATACCAAATGATGGAAAGAAAATCGTGCGCCTGGTGGTAAGCTACACGCCTGTCCATAGCAGTCGTGTCGATCAGAATTTTATATCGCATCGACCTGAGGGGCACTGTCACTGCGCCCGTCACCCTGAGATATAAGTTCACAAGTCCCATGTGCCTGTAATTGACTGTATGACAATCGTGGTTGATTGTGTGCGGCTGGTGCTCTTTACTAGGCACGCGATCGAAACAGAATACTTAGTTTCTCCAGTTATTGAAAATTCGGGTGCAAATGGTGCACACGGTTACACGCAGCGATTTTTAGCAGCGATGTAAACGCGCGTTCGTGAAACATGTGATTGCATCATTACATATGCGGTTTATTGGCACTTGCATCGATGCAAATGCGCGACTGCTTCGATACAGTCGCTTATGTTGAATAATTATGTACGAAAAATCTGTAAATTTGAGATGGGGCAGCAAGGCCAGCTACCTTAATCGTTATAGTTGCAGGAAAACGGTTCTAGAAGACTATCTATGAATTTTAAAGATATTTTGATTGGCATTCACAGATATTGAAAAAATGGTACAGTCAGCAAGATAAAAGGCAATTTTTACAAAACTTTTTGTTGTGCGATGATTAAGGAGATTAAATGAAGGAGGAGAGACTGCCTTGATAAATAACAATATGTTGTTGAGATTAATAAAATCAAAACTTCGTTCGTACTTTCCACTAAGTAAGCTCAAAAATAACTTACGATAATGGTTTTTTAATCAACGTCAACAATTTATTAGAGTATCGACAGTTATTTGTTAAAGTGGTTATAGTATCTGGATGATTGTGAAGCCATGAAAAACGTTTTCGAAGTTGAACTTTAGTAAAAAATACTATTAACAGATACTCAATTGTCTTTTAGGATGCAGAGCACCAGGCCGTCAGAACCAATCGCCTGGTCGACCACTTGAAGAGTGAATCTGCGAGTTTGAAGTTAGAAGTGGAGTTTCGTGGAAACACTATCAGTGGTCTAAGCGACAAGGTTAGTATTACACACTAATTATTTTTTCTTTTGACGGGTAGTGACGGGTAGAACAACTCGTGGGTTTGGTGATGAGACGTAAGCACTTCCCTGGACGAACTCTTTCACAAGGAGCTCTTCTGCTACTAAATAAATAGTCATCGGAATTGAGGGAGTTAATATGAATAAAGTACGAACGTTTTCTTAGTATGAACATACCCATTTCGTCATCAATGCGTATAAAATGTCTTTTTCGTCTCGTGGCTTATAACCCTCGCTACGCTCAGGAGTCTATTTTTGAACCACTCTTCTTAGCCTTCTCAATCTTAGCTTCCTTCGCTTGCTCAGGTTTCAATACATGCACTCGCGTCAAACAACAACTTTGCAGCCTTCCATAGCAAATAACTATTTTCTGTGAAAAATGTCAATTACGCTGATTTTGCTTATAACAATAAAACTGAAATGAAATATTAAAAACCGATTAGATGCGATTGTAGACCTCATTTCGCGGTTTCCAGATATGTCAATAACTTTATTTTGCTAAAACTTTTATGATAAGGATAGCAGTAGGGGAGAGTGGGGTGAATACGGACGCGGGGTAATTTCAGACGCAATTCTTTCTAGAAGTCTAGTTCCCCCCGCGCCCCGCTATCGCGATCTTTGGATCACATCCACCATCGTGACAGCGCGTGTACACGCTAAGAAATTCGACGTGTCTGATACAAAAAAGATGAGAATTGTCTTTGTACATGACAAGAACTTTGTCGGATCTAGCCACGAAAATATGTCGTGTCTGTTGCAGATAAGAAAATGATGAGTATGTACACGATACGAATGCTTTCGGGCAGACGTGTGTAGGGTAAACGTGCCATTAACAAGTCTTCAAGGTAGCTGGCGTTTTACTATCGACTGTGGGAAGAAATATGTTGACTACTAAGCAAAAAAAGAAAATGGTGATTGCGATCACCTTTTTTTTAGTTTTATTTTGTGTAGAACAATTTATAAGAAAAGAAGATACAAGAGAATTTACTGGATTCATCCAATTTTGTAACAAAAAGATGAGTTTGGTACCCTCTATCTTACATTGCGACGACATGAGGAAAAGTTTATCAAATATTTAATTTTTTTCTGTATTTGTCATTTCTTAAAAATCTTCCTTATGAATAATAAATATTTCTTTCCATGCCTCAAAAGTACGTCGTTTATCTTAATAAATCTGTAAGGTTTGGTCCCACAATACGGGTCGTTCCTCTACTAAACTTATAATTAAATCACGTATTTTATATAAGAAAAAAATCTTGTCTACACCCGACTCGACGCGCTCTGCTTGCGAACCCAGAGGATCACCTCTTGATACAATTCGTGATAGACTTCTTCCATTTACAAAAATTCAAAATGACAATGATTAACATTCTCTTTTTACAGTTAGCAAAGGCAGAAAAGACTATAGAGCGGCGCGAAAAACAAATTAAAAATCTAAATGCTCAATTGGAGCAGTCTCAGCAAGAGCAGGAGGCGGCTATCAACCGAGCCAATCAATTTCGCACAGCCATTGACAATATGAAGATGGAGTTCGAGGAGAATAAAAAGGCTTTAGTCAACACTACAAAAGAACTGAAGGTATATCGTGTACATTGCTGTGTACAGCAGTGGGTACACTGTTGTTGGGTGTACACAGCGATGTAGATGACGGAGAGACTCCGTTGTATACCCCTGAAGTTTACTACTCCTGCATAATTGTGGTGCTTGTTAGATATCTGTATTCCGCCTTCCGCCTTCCTCTTTCCATCATCGGGGGACTAGGCGTAAGCTGGGATTCCACCCCCACGTTGGGGATACTCCAAGGACTCGCACGCAGCGTTTTGCTTCCACATTTATAGTAATTATGACGAACGGTAAAGAATGAAATTTACTGCTTATTGACCTTATTGACTTATTCTCTTAACGCTATAACTTGGAGTTTTTCAAAGCGAGAGTGAATAGGCATTATTTTGGGAATATGCTACATAGTCGACCTCATCTTCACTTGCATGGGGTGAGATAGAGGTATTTGACCACATCCTCCGCGCACTTAATTGTTTATTTAAAAAAAATTGTCTAATATATTATGTCCCCGATCATTGTCGTCTACACTAGCGACCATAACTCATCCATCAGTGACACGCGGTTTAGGCACATGTAAAAATTATAATACACCTGGACCTAAATTGCATGTTAAATATAATCACTTGTTATTGTGTCAACAGAACACGATAGACGATAGCAACAAGGTCCGAGCAGAAGTGACTAAGTTAAACAAGAGCATTGTGATACAATCGAAGAAGTTCCAGCATCTCGAACATGCAAAGGCAGACATTGAGGCTGACCGGTGAGATTGTTTTAGCTGTATCTTTTTATATAAAATAATTATAAATTATTTATTTATTGTCGGACAACATTAATCCATATTTAAATTAGTAACAGACTTATATACCATATTAGTACATTACGAGTAAAATCTATGCCTTATGAGAGGTCCCTCCATTCTCTCAGCTATTATTTCAAGATGCTGTTGCTACAGTTACGTAGTCTGTTTAGAAGAGAAGCGACTTTCTTCCGTAGTAAAGCAGAAAAGCGGTCTGTCCGCGCTTCTGCAAACATGGCAGATCCGTTACAGAATTTCGGCAGCCGCAACAGCATCCTGAAAGCATTGTTGTATTGGGTGCGGAGAGCAATATACGATTTTTGCGTATGTCGTTTACACAGGTTACCTGCGTAAAACGCAAACAATAAGCCTTGATAAGCGTTATCTTAGCTGCAGAGCCTCGCGCAAAGCTGTGATCCAACATTTAGCCTTTACTGACAAAGCTGTCTGGTCCCTCTCCATATCATCAATAAAGTAAATAAGAAAATTTGGTACCTACATATTTCAATGTTTACTACTCAACACACCGAGTCGCGTCGTTGAACATATGGACAGGTTTTTGTGCTTTTCGTACCCTGCCCGATGTTCCTTTATAGCTCTTAATGGATATAGTTTAGTGGATGCTACTTCGAGTAGCAAAACACGATTACCAATCAACTATTTCAACGTTCAATACTACTATTTCACAAACTTGGTGTAATAAGGCCACATCTGCAAAATTACAACTTTTCAGAAGAGAGGTCAAAGATTCAACTAACGAAATTAGACGATAATTTTCATGCTTGAATAGGAGAGATAACTGCCTCGGTAGTCGAACGTTTATCATGCAGGTCTGCCACACAGGTTCGATTCCCGAGCCGGAAGAAATATATCGCACCCTTCATGGAAGAATGGCATAAGTGAAGTTACGTCAAAAATGTTTATTGATCGCGCGTTTGTATCGATGCAGTCGCGCGTTTGCATCGATGCAATCGCCTATAAATCGCAAGTGTAGCGATGCAATCGCGCGTTTCACGAACGCGCGTTTGCATCGCTAAAAGTCGCCATGTCTAACCACTCTAAATAAATTAGATTTTAGTAGATAGATATTTAGTATTTAATTATCATGACAGAACTAACGTATAGTTCTTCTTTACTATTTTACGTTACTTCATTACTTGTTTTGATCAGCGAGCGTCTGCGTCAGCAAATTACCGTGATGGAACGCGAAATCATGTTGGGCCAACGACAGGCCGAAATTGACAAAAGGGAAATCGAAAATATGAACCGTGAAAAGGAAATCTTCAACAAGAACTTGCAGAAGATACAGAGTGAGATAAATTCCCTATCGTTTTAATGTATTACGATTTGTGACACGTCTAGTACTCTAATCTCAGTTGGGCTCGTAGTCGTTAGGTCCCTATAAGAAACAGAAACTGTCGAGTATAAAATAAATTATATATGTATTTCTGAATACAATACAAATACTCTTTACCGAACACAAGAATAATTACCACGCCAAAGGTTCTATCATGTCACTTCTATCCCCCTGTTCGCCTCCCCAATTTTTTTTATAATATCAAATGGGAGGACGAACAAATCGTTCTCCTGGTATTAAGTAACACGCCTGTCCATAACAATTGCACTGCCACTCAAGAGCTTTAAACCGCAAAGATCTCAGGGACACTGCCACTGCACCCGTCACCCTGAGACCCTTACCCTTCAAAACCGGAACGCAGTAACGCTTACATTACTGCTTGGCGGCAGAAATAAGGTGGCAGTACTTCCCTGGACTTAAATCTATTTACTGCTTGAACATCCGAGAATTGAAATTGAATTGCCGGGCTGGTTTCAAAGTCAAAGTCAAAGTCAAAGATTATTTATTCCATAGGTAAAATAAATTTACACTTGAAATCGTCACATTTAAGCTACTCTTAGGTATCATAACAGATTAAATTTGTTAATGCCGATATCACAAAAGTAATACTAAATCGCGATTTAATTCGCGACTATTACAAAAACAAACGAAATCAAAATCTGAAAATGCAGTTGATATTAACTCCAAAAGTTAGTGGTGACCGAAAAAAGATTTCCCTGTAAGTAGTCTAGCTACTCTTTCAGTTTCGCCTCAAATTTGTACCTTATGTGCTTAATGTGACGAGAAAAAAGAAAAAAAGAAAAAGTTCTACGTTGCAAGTGCAAAGTTACCTGTAGAGGGAAATAAAATGATTGTAGAATTATTGATTTTAGATGAAGCTATAGAGAACTTGAAGATGCTGCAAATGCAGGAGCAGCACCGAAAGCAGCTGGATCACGAGCTCGAGCTGACCAGCCGCCAGATCAACAAACAAAGGCTAATTATCCGGCAGTACGAGAAGGAAAAAGACAGGTGATTAATTATATATCGTATAAATGTTCCGAGGACGTGGATACCTGGAAGATAACGCTGTTAAGTTACTCTTGAATCCGGAAAAGGAGCACTCAGAAAAAACCATTGGCTGAGAGTCGCCTCTGACCCTAGTTTGACACTAGAGTCACCTGGTAGAGCGGTGGAACTGAGCTACAGATCACCTCAGCTGTATCTATTTGTTTCTGACCTTCTGTATTGGGCTTTTTCGGCTTTTACCGCTGTAAAGTTTTTATTGTTATGTTGCTGAGAAGTCTGCAATGTTTTGTTCGGAGTGTGGCATTAATGTCGACTTTAACCATTGATCATGCCAAGTTAATTGTGCACATATATATATATATATATTTTATATCTTCACTTTAGAAGGAAAAGAAAGTTCGATTAGGACAGAAAGTATTACTAGATAGGTGTAAGCGCATGTGCGCACTGCATCGGATTCGTATTATTTCCGAATCCGAGACTATATAAGTCTAGAAAACTCGGACCCACTTCGGATGTCGCTTGTGCACTAAGTCCAATTCAAATTCGAGAAAATACGGATATCGCTTGTACACCTTGAGATAAAATCATCCCTGTGACATTTCGGACCGTCATTTCTCGAATTCGGAACGAATACGAATCGGATACAGTGCGCAAACGCGCTAAATGTTTCGTTAAACTTAACTTAACTGCCTCAGTGGCCGAACGGTTACCATGCCGGACTGCCACGCAGAGGTCCCAGGTTCGATTCCCGGGCCGGGCGAAATATTTGTATGACCTACATTTATTTCTCTCGTGAGTTTGGGTGTAATTTGTGGTTGTCTATGTGTGTGTCCATGGCACCCGCGACACAGGGTTTCCCTAGTGCGGGGCTATGTTGAGTGTGTGCGTTATTATTATTATGTTATTATTGTTAAAACGTTCTCTTGTTTAGGTTACTGGAGGAGACAATAGCGTTGAACGAAAAGGTTGACGAAATCACAGGTGAAATCCATTTACATAACCACCTAACCCCTAAAATAAGCTTAATGGAACTGTGTTTATTAATATTTCTCAAATACCAGAGGAGGTCCGACTCCGCGAGGCTGATATCGTGGACTTAAAGAAGGCTCTTCGCGAGGAACGCATCAGCAATCGCAAACTGACGGTAGCTCTAGACACCACCAGAACTGAGAGAAATATGCTACATAAAAACTATACGGAAGCCCTTGACGAGATCCAGGACTTGAAACAGAAACTGAAGGTATTGGGCTATTGTATATTTCTCATTAAAGCGTAGCAGACGTGTCATGTATCTTATAAGATTTCTTTAATTCAACTGAAACTTCATGATGATGATCTCTCAATAAAGTCGTAGAACAAAAGTCTTAACTAAAGGGACGTGTAAGAGATTTCAGGTTAATAATATGTAACCCTACTAGCCACACGTTTCGTTTGAAACACATTGTTTCAAAGTTCCCAATTTGTCATCACCTTTTATCTCACCTTTTCATGGATGTGGATGCAAGGCCCTTCATAAGTATGATGTGATTTGTTGTATTCATTTTAATTAAAGTCAAAGCCAAAGTCAAAGATTATTTATTCCATAGGTAAAATAAATTTACACTTGAAATCGTCACATTTAAGCTACTGCTCGTTCACTACGCTGACCTCCCTGAGAAGAACGAGCAAGAAACTCTAGGGAACTTAAGAGCAATCTTTTTAAATAAACTTAAATGCTATGGAATAAATAATAAAACTTTGAATCAAATTTGTGTGGATTCTGGAGCCATGTCATCTTTCCATACATCTTTATCTAACACGTAGTCTTCAATTTTGTAATATGATTTTTAGATCAAAATATTTTTAATATAGGTTTTAAACTTAGGAAATGATAAACTTAATATATGCTCCGGAATCTTATTGTAAAAACGTATACAGTTCCCGATAAAAGAGTTGTTTACCTTGGTTAAACGAAATCGTGATACCACGAGTTTGGACTTAGCTCTAAGGTTAATATTATGGATATCTTCTTTCTTATTGAAATTATGTATATTTTTACGAGCATATAAAATATTTGAGTAAATGTACTGTGATGCCACAGTCATGATACTAGTCTCCTTAAACTTTTCTCTGAGAGAAACCCGAGAGTCTAGACGGTACACAGAACGAATCGCTCGTTTTTGCAATACAAATATGGTTTGAATATCTGCCGCTTAACCCCACATGAGAATCCCGTAGGACATTATACTATGGAAGTAACTAAAGTAAACTAGTCTAGCAGTACTAACAGTACTAACTTGGTAAGCTCACGTATTCTGCGGACTGCGTATGCAGCGGAGCTTAACCTGCTGGCCAGGGAAGATATATGTGGAAACCATTGAAGTTTACTATCTAAGGTCACTCCCAAGAAGACTGCTTTATTAACAAAGTCTAACTTTTCTCCGTTTATTTCTATGCTTGGACTAGTCGATTTTACGTTAGGTAATTCAAATTTAACACATTTTGTCTTCTTGGCATTAAGCAATAAATTGTTAGCATTAAAACAATAAACTACCTTAGAGAGGTTATCATTAATATGGTCATAGTTAATGTCATGTCTGTCTGTTTTAAAAATCAAGGATGTGTCATCAGCAAACAACACTATTTCGCAATGGTCCTTAACAAAGAATGGCAGATAATTAATATAAATCAGAAATAAGAAAGGCCCAAGTATTGAGCCCTGTGGAATGCCCATTTTTACCGGAGAACCCAAAGAAGTCACACCATTTATGTCTACTTTCTGAATTCTACTTTTATGATGTGTTGTGGATTAACATGACGGAAATTAAATAAACTGCCACAAACGTTAACATTTTCCTTTAGGAGATCAATAGCAAGTGAAGGGGAAGAATTTAATGATTCTGTAGTGTTCACAGCAATTTCCGAAAAGAACTATTCAAAAGCTTGGGCTACTTTATCTTTAGATTTTATAAGTTTACTGTCTAATTCTAAAACTATATCTCTATCGTGTTGTTTAACCCTGCCTGACTCTTTATTTATTATGCTCCAAGTAGTTTTAGATTTATTTATCGATTGTCTAATTTTGTCGCTGTGAAACTTAACCTTAGCAGCTACACATACTTTTTTAAATATTTGTGAATAAATTCTAACATATTCTATGAAATTGGAATTAGTATTATAAGTTTTCATAGCATATAGCTCATACAAACGAGACCTATTCTTATGAATACCTACTGTTGCCCAGTCGTTGAATTTAGTCTCTCTATGGAAAGTTAATGTTTTCGATTTAAATATATTATCAAATTAATTTTTAATTAAACCAAATATCGTGCTATATAAAGTATTTGGAACCTCCGGTATATGGGGTAGGGAATTTAAACTATTGCCGATATTATTTTGAAATCTAATTATTCGTTCTGTGGTAATCGGTCTGCAGAGAAATTGGTCTACCTTCTTGCTCATTTTACAATTAAAAGAAGCCAATTGGCCACTATGGTCTGATCTTAAGCAATTTATTATTGATTTAGACACTGCGTCTGTGTTACAAAAGATGTTATCAATACAAGTAAAGGAGGAGGCAGTGATGCGAGTTGGTTCTAAGAAAAGATTAATCAAGTTAAAACTTTAAAATAAATTAATGAGTCTTACAGAAGTAGAACAGTTTTCCAACAGGTTTACATTGAAATCTCCGTATATTACTACGTTTTTTTTGGTTGGAAAAATCCGCTTTAAACTGTCTTCCATAATTAATTCAAACTCTTTAAAATTAGCAGAGGGGGGCCTGTATACATATAAGACGAGAAACTGATCCAATTCCACACATGAAATCTCAATGGTTCGTTCAGTAGAAAGATCTGTGATATCCTTACGCTCTTTAAATTTTAAGTTACGTTTAATAAAAATCATGGATCCGCCTCTACCTAAACTCGTCAACGGAAATATCGTGCAAAAAAAGACTTATTTCTAATGTTTTGCCAGAAAAGCCTTGAATATTTTGATGTACTACATAAAAAACGATTAGACTTTTCTGTTGTCGTGTTTTTTATTGTAAATTATGGTAAGTAAAAAGTATACTGTTGCTACTTAAAGTAGGAGCATTGTCGTGGGACTGTGTTATATTTTCTATAACAGCGTCCTTAATATTAAAAGATAGCAAACTAGCTACATGTCTCAGATACCTTATGAGTAAAAGTAAATTATCCTCAAAAAGTTTGAAGTTCCTTACGAACTTATTAATGTCAAAACAAAATATAACGTTACTATGACGGCAAGTCAAATTATGAATGTGCGAATTTATGTTATGTATATACTTATTACGAGCGATGCCTAGGTTAGAGCAGTAAGGGAATGCACTTAGTATGAATTTACACCCACACTTCTCATGAATTCTCAAGAACACGTCAATGCTACTATTTACTTCTTTTTTACTAATGTTATTACTATTACCTATTATAAGAATCACTGTTGTATATTTATCAAAAATCTGTGTTTATGGTATTGTGTGATACTAAAAGTAAAAAACACGTATTTTATTTTTCTCCAAATAATTGGATAGGTAGTGATTAAAAGATCGCCTGTCTAATAAGCCAATGTACTCTATCTTCTTAGATGTTAGCATATCAAATCGAGCAATTGAAAGAAGACATAACCGGCAAGGAAACAGGTCTAAAGACTTGTGAGGCATCCCTGAACAAGTGCCACAAGAAGACTGAACAGCTTCGTAATGAGATCCAAATGGAACAAACGAAGCTGTCTGAAGCACGAGCTGATATTTCTGCATTGAGGCAGGAGGAGGCTAGGCTAAACAGGATTGTTAATGTAAGTGTAACTATCTTTATATATTTGGAAATTAAAATATTTTTTCGTTACTAAAATCGCGTCTATTTTGTTTTTTTTTTTCAACATTACAATTATTAATTTCAATTGAAGACAACGACCTCTTCAGTGATCGCCAGTACGGATTCCGACGAGGGCGATCTACTGGGGATCTTCTTGTGTATGCCTGTCACATATGGAGCGAAGCTATAGAAAAACAAGGCGAAGTACTTGCACTGTCTTTGGACATTTCTAAAGCTTTTGACAGGGTCTAGCACGCAAGCCTATTAAGTAAGCTTCCCTCTTATAGGCTTCCCACTGACCTTTGCAATTGGATCTCGGAGTTCTTGAGCGAACGTTCGATTCGAGTGGTCTTAGAAGGCTACTCTTCCGAACACATGGCGATAAATGCCGGATGCCGAGTTCCTCAGGGTTCCATACTATCTGCAACTCTCTTTCTGCTGCATATCAATCATATATTAATTCCAGGTACCTTTGCGTATGCTGATGACAGTACATTTGTAGATAGGTACTTGACCAATGCGAGGGTCAGTGGGGAGGAAATACAGTCTTTTCGAGAGTCCATGGTTAGCCGTTTGGATTTGACGCTAAAGGCAGTCTCCGATTGGGGAGATGCCAATCTTGTCAAATATAACGCTACCAAACCGCAGGCGTTTCTATTCTCAACAAAACGGAGTCCATTTGAGCTTACTCCGACTTTTCGTGATATATCCATACTGATAGCCGACTGTCTCCAGCTACTTGGAATGGAGCTGTCGTCCAATTTGAACTTTGGCAGATACATTGAATTCATGGCCAAAAAGGCAGCAAGGAAGCTTGGCATCCTTTACAGGGTGAGGCGTTACTTTACAACGGGACAGATGCTTCAGCTGTACCAAGCACAAATCCGGTCGTGCATGGAGTACTGCTGCCACCTTTGGGATGGCTCTGCTACATACCAACTGAGCATTTTGGATTCTATTGACAACCGTGCCAAGAGGCTTATAGGTGACTCGGAATTAGTGGAGACGAAGCTGCAGAGCCTTGAACACCATCGTAAAGTTGCCTGCTTATCGGTATTTTATAGGATATATCACGGAGAGTGTGCGATTGAATTACACGATTTAATTCCGCCTTCCCCTTTCTATCACCGGGGGACTAGGCGTAGGCTTGGGTTCCATCCCTATGTTGTGGATATTCCAAAGATTCGCACGAAGCGTTATGCTTCCACATTTATATGGCGAACGGCTACGGAGTGGAATTCCCCGCCTGCAGACTTGTTCCCTGAACGTTATAACTTGGGCCTTTTCAAAACGAGAGTGAATAGGCATTATTTAGGTGTGTAAGTTCCATCGTCGACCTCATCGTCACTTTCCATCAGGTGAGATAGAGGTCAAATGCGCACTTATAATCTATATAACATAAAAGAATTCTAAGATGGAACGCACGAGTAAAGTGAGTGGTTCCAAAATATAATCCTGATCGTAACGAGAACTTCGAGAACGTGTCGAGCAAAAGACACAACTTTTCACCTCACCATAGCGAGGAAAATGGTAGATGAAAGAAAAACAGTTGACAAATTCAATTTAATGTCAACAAAAATAAGAATAAAATAATCCAACGGGTTTCTATTACTTAGATAATATAAGGCAAATCTGTTGAACGTTGGACGCGTCATTATGTTTCTTTTTATCAAATGAAAAACTTAGGTGCACCACAGTCCATCGTCAAGTTCGAACTTCAAAAACCTTTTCCACGTTAACGTCAAAAAATGCTTTTGCACGCAGATTTCTAGTAAAAAAGCAAGCCTCTCCGAGCTAGTGTGGTGAAAAAAATATTTTGTTTATATTCACCGAAATTAAGTAAAATGATATATTGCAAAATGTGAATTGTTGTTAGTTTTATCAGATTACAGCTTAAACAGCTTATCGTTAAAAATAGGATCTACCATGTAAAATGTATTTTTTTGCTCGTTTATCCCCTTTGTTTACATTTGGACATCTATGATTCATACTTATTAATAAATTTGGACAAAACGTCGCCTTACTTTCTCAATCTTACTTTCTTAAACAGGAGGGTGATGCCGCAAGAGCAAAGCTTCTAAAAGACCTGGAAGGCTTAATGAATGAGAGAGATGTGGTCGGCGCACAACTGGTCCGTAGGAATGATGAAATTTCGCTGCTGTATGAGAAGATACGTATTCTCGAAGTTACTTTACATCGAGGTAAATGCAGAAAACCAATCAATGTACGATCGAACGCATGGTTAGCTTACCAAGTCGCTAACAATAATTCAGATTGCCACGGTTGCAAGGTACCTATCCATGGAAAGAGTTCACCATGGCAACGCATTCTCATATGAAACGTGCAATCATAAGCGACCGCGTTACTTGCTATATGTTAAGCTTCTTACACAATACACAACCTTCAACAACAATCGTTGGTTATCAGTACCAAAAGTCGCTTACAATGAGATGATTATCACTAGTTACAGAGTTGACCAGTAGGGACACGGAAAAGTATCGATAGTTTTTGGTGTCGAATACTTTCTTTTACTCGATACTTTCCTGGTATTATTACTATTTAACCAGTATCGTGTCTAAGTGTTTTATTTTTTATTGAAAATCAAGGATGTTTCACCACCATGATATTCAATTATTTTTGTGAAATTACTCCACTAGTTTGCTGTAATTATTAATACAAAGATCCTAACCCCTTTTTTTTGCATGTTATGACGTTTTTACTACCTTGATATTCGTGTATTTTTATGAGAATACCACTAGTATTCTGTACTCTATGGTACTGGTATACTTTGTTATTATTATTATATAATAATAATAATGGTGTAGTATTTATAAGTATATATATAGATACACAGATCAAACAAACTATCAATGCGGTCCAGTCGGATAGAAGGAGTTTGCCATGATTCGATTTTTGTATCAATAATATCATACGTGTCGTTTCGAATGGTTTCTTTTTTTATATAATATCAATCAAGTGACGGAACGAATAAGTAGTCGTGCGCCTGGCGGTTAACTACACGCCTATCCATGAGAGTTGCCACTCAGAGCTTTAAATCGCAAAAATCTGAGTGGCACTGCCACTCCGCCCGACACCCTGAAACCTGAGTTGACATGTCCCATGTGCCTGTAGATTCACCACCATTGCCCCTCAAAACCGAAACACAATAATGCTGACGATGTTGGTTGACGGCAGAAATAGATAAGGTGGCAGTACTTCCCTGGTTCTTTCACAAGAACCTCTACTGCTACTATCAAAGTTCCTACTTAGTCTAAGATTTTAATATGAAAATTAAAGTATTTGATTGTTCAATAACAAATGACAATTGACAGATGTACATCAACAACAACATTATGCTAGAATTTTTAACTGAAACAAATAATAAAAAACGATGACAAATTCTTAAG